AGAGGGCAGTTAAGGCACAACCACATTGCTGTGGGCCTGGAGTCACGTGTAGCCCAGACCAGGTAAGGATGGCAGTTTCCTTCCCTAAAGGACGTTAGTGAACCAGATGGGTTTTTCCAGCCATCGACAATGGATTCGCTGTCACCATTACGTTGTTAATTCCAGATATTTTATTGAATTCAAATTCCACCATCTGCCGTGGTGGGATTTGAACCCGGGTCTCCAGAATGTTATCTGGGTCTCTGGGTTAACAGTCCAGCGATAACACCGCTAGGCCAATGCCTCCCAACGAATGGTCTGTCCGACGTTGAGGAGATCGATCAGTGGCGTGGGGGTGGAGAGGGGGTGCGTGCATGGTCGATGGTTCCCTGAAACCCTGCCTCTGTCTCTCCCCATGCAGTCAAATGGCTGGGACGCGAATGAGATGTTTCGTTTCAACGAGGAGACTTATGGGGTCAAGACTACATACGACAGCAGTCTCTCTTCCTACACGTGAGTGTGTACAGCTCCCTGTACACCGTTTTCCCCCCCATCAAACACTCCCAGGGACAGCACGGGATTAGATACAGGGTAAAGCTCCCTCTACACCATCCCCCCCCATCAAACACTCCCAGGGACAGGGAGAGCAGGGGTTAAATAGTAGGTAAAGCTCCCTCCCTGTGAGTCTCTGCCTGTTGCCCTCAGGACCCCGCTGGAGAAGGATAACTCGGTTGAGTTCCGTCAGCGAGAGGCCCGTGCGGCCCAGTTAGCGAAGGAGATTGAAGCCAGCCCCCAGTACCGTGTGCGGATATCCATGGAGAACGACGAAGGCAGGACTGACGAGGAGAAGTTCAGCGCGGTCCAGAGACCTCCCTCCGACCGGGATAGCCCCGGATTCGGCTCCAGGTACCTCCCTGTAGCGCCTGCCCCATCCCTCCATTGCTGGGTTGCTGCCCTGCTGCATGCCAGTCTGGGACTCCGAGCCGAAACATGTCCCTCAGGCTGTCTGTCGCTGCCTCTCTGCCTCTCTCTCTGTTGCTGCCTGCCTCTCTCTCCCTCTCCTTCTCTGTCGCTGCCTGCCTCTCTCTCCCTCTCTCTCTCTCTCTGTCGCTGCCTGCCTCTCTCTCCCTCTCTCTCTCT